CCGAGCCGCCAGGCAGCGGAGGGAGAGAGGAGGAGGACCCGGAGTCTCGCCGCGGGAGGGTGCCCAGGGCGAGGGCGTGCGAGGGGGAGTGACTCCGCGCGCGAGGGTGTGTAAGAGTGTGAGTGCGTGTGTGTGTGTGTCTGTGTGTGTGGAGAGGGGCGCGCGCGTGAGCGGGGGGTGGGGAAACGAGGCAGAGCCTGGTGCGTCTCCCCGGGCGAGTGGAGGAATCCTAGGGTGTGCCTGGAGGTGGCGGAGTGTACCGACGCGGATGTGAGCGCGTGTGCCAGCGAGGGTGGGCACGGGGGTGAGTGTGGCAAGGTGAGCTGGGTTTGGGGGTGGGGAGGAGCGGCGAGTACGGCGTGAGCGTAAGTTCGGGGGCGTGTGTGGCTGGGGACCCACGGAGAGGTGGCAGGGAGCGCCGGCGTGTGCGCGCGTGGGGTGTGTGTGCACCTAGCTGTGTGTCTATTTCTCGCTGACTGTCCACAGGGCAGCAGCATCTGCTTGAGACCAAGCCCGGCCACCTGGCAAGGTGGGGCCCCCTACCGCGCAAGCTTCGCGGCTGGCCCCCGGCTCTCAGCTCCGAGTGCAGAGGCTGAAGAGGTACCCAGGGGACACACTGCCTCTAACCCCACGTATGAGCCGCTCTCTCTCCTCTCGGAGGGCGAAGACACCATCGGAAGGTCGAGATTCGCCCTCCTATTCCGCCACGTCTACCCACTACCCAGACCGAGAGTCTGGACTTGAGAGCGTGAACTCTCACCCGAGCCGGTCCCCTTCCAACGGGAGCCCGCCCAGCTCCTCAGTCCCTCCATGAAGCCCATGGGTCCCCACTGCCCCGTGCCTCGTCGACCCAGGATGGGGAGTGGGAAGGTCAGCATGGGCCCACAGGGCCAGGTGTCCGGCCCAGATTCCCACCCTCAGGGCGGCGGCGCGCAAAGGGCGCAGTCCCCGACGCTGGGCGGACCCGCGGCTCCGGCTTTCCCGGTGTCTCCAGCCTCGGTGCCCGGAACCCCCGATCTCGGCCTGGCGCTCCGGAGCGAGGCAGCTCGGTGCCCCAGCAGGGACGGGGAACGCTTGGCTTGAGAGATCACATTTCTGGGTGTGGAGAGGTGGGTGCCGAGGCAGAGGAACGCAAAGTGCGTTGTAACCGCGGGGGTGTTCTAGACTGCGAGGGTGTTCTAGACCCTAGGACAACTGTAGACCCAGGGCTGGAAAACGACCTCCCTGAATCCGGAACGGGGCTTCTGGCTTGTGAGAACCCCTAGCCCTCTTCCAGATGAAGGAGTGGGAGTCGGTAATTGTGGTCTGGGCCCTTGTGGGCCCCTGGCACCTTGGAGTCCCTCATTCACTCACTCTCACTTTTTCCGGAGCCCCCTTCAGTCTGTCAGTTTAAAAGGTACACAATTGGCCCTTCAGGAGGTGGGCGTGGGCTCCATTAGCGTTTGCCAGGAGTCCCGGAGCTGTGTGGGATTTGCATACAGTAATAATGATTAACAACACTGCCACTCCCTGGCAGACAGGGGAAGAATTCAGGGAAGGCCCTGGCGCTGCTCCCACCTCCCTCCTCCCTTCCCTCTGGGGAAGGGCTAATTTTCTGGCAACTGCACACCTCAGTTCCTCTGACCCCGGGGAGACAGTGCCTCGGGTCCTGGGTGGTCACTACTCAGGAGGCGGGGGCACTTCCCTTCAGTCCTCCGTCCCATGTTCAGGTCGGGAAAGTGAAACCCATATTTTTTTTCTGCCCAGGTTTGAACTCCTGTACATTCTCTCTGTTGTTTAGCATCTTGGGGGCAGCTCAGGGGTTGAGTCTTCCTCACTGTTTGGAGGCCTCAGGAGACAGTTGGTGACATCTTTTCTCCTCAGAAAGTCAACTAACAGGACAGTTGTGGCCTCCTGAGACTCGTAAGCTCCGTTTGAAGACCAGACACTGGTCCAGACACCTGCCTCCTCTTTCCTCATAAGCTCGTAACTCATTGCTTAAGTGTGGTAGCTGTAGACTATTCTCTCCTTTCTGTCTTAACCATCTAGGGAAAATAGGAAAGACTGGGATTTCTAGTCTAGGCCAGTGTGAGTTTTGTTTACCAGCCCTTCCTACAACCAGGTGATCTGCAAAATGAGAGCAAGCAATGGGGAGAAAGGAGGCCCCTTGGCTCAGGCAGCTGGAGTAGCCCTACTGCCCAGGAGATGCTGTCCCTCCTACCAGTCCCCAGTCATCTATTGCATCTTTCCAGCACTGCCTGTCCTCACCTTCCCCCTCTGCCTCTGGTCCCGGCCTGGCCGGGATTTTCACTTGCTTTTCCCCCATGACACGGCCGCTTTTCCTTTAACTCTCAGCTTCTATTTAAAAAGCTAATTTGGGAGCTTGTCGATGCTCCCAATTCAGACATTTTAAATAGGAACTGAAAGTCAGGAGCTGCCAGGGCACTAGATTTCCTCCCGTTGCCACCAGCACAGCTGAGGCATTTGTTCAGTCACTCCTCTGGCCCTGGCCGTGTGTGTCTGTGTGTGTGAGCACCCGCGAGCTCAGGGTATATTTCAGGCTATCTTTTCTATTTAAAGATGGTGCTCCTATGGATGACTATTCTTTCTCTGTGTGTGTGTCCTTTCCAAGCTGTGCACACATGAGGATTCTTCTTTAGTCCCATGGCTCTGGCCGGTATTTGCAAAGCTTGTCACCGTGTGGACTGTGAGGGTAATAGGCAGCCCAGCTCAAAGTCGGCTGCTTCTTTGCTGACGTGCCAGGCTGGTGTGTCTGCGTGGCTGTTTCCCAGGGCTGCTCTGTTCAGGGTCTCTTTTTGAAGCTATGCCTCATATGCCTCAGGGTATCCTTAAGGGTCACTCCCACCCTCACTGCTTATAACTGTCCTATTTTAGCAATCTGCCCCATGCTGGGGCAAGAATTTTGGGGGTGGGCTGTACCTCTGAGGGTTACAGCCTTTCTACGTTTAGGGTGCTATGTACCTTGGAACGGAGCCCCCTTCAGTCTGTCAGTTTAAAAGGTACACAATTGGCCCTTCAGGAGGTGGGCGTGGGCTCCATTAGCGTTTGCCAGGAGTCCCGGAGCTGTGTGGGATTTGCATACAGTAATAATGATTAACAACACTGCCACTCCCTGGCAGACAGGGGAAGAATTCAGGGAAGGCCCTGGCGCTGCTCCCACCTCCCTCCTCCCTTCCCTCTGGGGAAGGGCTAATTTTCTGGCAACTGCACACCTCAGTTCCTCTGACCCCGGGGAGACAGTGCCTCGGGTCCTGGGTGGTCACTACTCAGGAGGCGGGGGCACTTCCCTTCAGTCCTCCGTCCCATGTTCAGGTCGGGAAAGTGAAACCCATATTTTTTTTCTGCCCAGGTTTGAACTCCTGTACATTCTCTCTGTTGTTTAGCATCTTGGGGGCAGCTCAGGGGTTGAGTCTTCCTCACTGTTTGGAGGCCTCAGGAGACAGTTGGTGACATCTTTTCTCCTCAGAAAGTCAACTAACAGGACAGTTGTGGCCTCCTGAGACTCGTAAGCTCCGTTTGAAGACCAGACACTGGTCCAGACACCTGATGGGGAGTGGGAAGGTCAGCATGGGCCCACAGGGCCAGGTGTCCGGCCCAGATTCCCACCCTCAGGGCGGCGGCGCGCAAAGGGCGCAGTCCCCGACGCTGGGCGGACCCGCGGCTCCGGCTTTCCCGGTGTCTCCAGCCTCGGTGCCCGGAACCCCCGATCTCGGCCTGGCGCTCCGGAGCGAGGCAGCTCGGTGCCCCAGCAGGGACGGGGAACGCTTGGCTTGAGAGATCACATTTCTGGGTGTGGAGAGGTGGGTGCCGAGGCAGAGGAACGCAAAGTGCGTTGTGACCGCGGGGGTGTTCTAGACTGCGAGGGTGTTCTAGACCCTAGGACAACTGTAGACCCGGGGCTGGAAAACGACCTCCCTGAATCCGGAACGGGGCTTCTGGCTTGTGAGAACCCCTAGCCCTCTTCCAGATGAAGGAGTGGGAGTCGGTAATTGTGGTCTGGGCCCTTGTGGGCCCCTGGCACCTTGGAGTCCCTCATTCACTCACTCTCACTTTTTCCGGAGCCCCCTTCAGTCTGTCAGTTTAAAAGGTACACAATTGGCCCTTCAGGAGGTGGGCGTGGGCTCCATTAGCGTTTGCCAGGAGTCCCGGAGCTGTGTGGGATTTGCATACAGTAATAATGATTAACAACACTGCCACTCCCTGGCAGACAGGGGAAGAATTCAGGGAAGGCCCTGGCGCTGCTCCCACCTCCCTCCTCCCTTCCCTCTGGGGAAGGGCTAATTTTCTGGCAACTGCACACCTCAGTTCCTCTGACCCCGGGGAGACAGTGCCTCGGGTCCTGGGTGGTCACTACTCAGGAGGCGGGGGCACTTCCCTTCAGTCCTCCGTCCCATGTTCAGGTCGGGAAAGTGAAACCCATATTTTTTTTCTGCCCAGGTTTGAACTCCTGTACATTCTCTCTGTTGTTTAGCATCTTGGGGGCAGCTCAGGGGTTGAGTCTTCCTCACTGTTTGGAGGCCTCAGGAGACAGTTGGTGACATCTTTTCTCCTCAGAAAGTCAACTAACAGGACAGTTGTGGCCTCCTGAGACTCGTAAGCTCCGTTTGAAGACCAGACACTGGTCCAGACACCTGCCTCCTCTTTCCTCATAAGCTCGTAACTCATTGCTTAAGTGTGGTAGCTGTAGACTATTCTCTCCTTTCTGTCTTAACCATCTAGGGAAAATAGGAAAGACTGGGATTTCTAGTCTAGGCCAGTGTGAGTTTTGTTTACCAGCCCTTCCTACAACCAGGTGATCTGCAAAATGAGAGCAAGCAATGGGGAGAAAGGAGGCCCCTTGGCTCAGGCAGCTGGAGTAGCCCTACTGCCCAGGAGATGCTGTCCCTCCTACCAGTCCCCAGTCATCTATTGCATCTTTCCAGCACTGCCTGTCCTCACCTTCCCCCTCTGCCTCTGGTCCCGGCCTGGCCGGGATTTTCACTTGCTTTTCCCCCATGACACGGCCGCTTTTCCTTTAACTCTCAGCTTCTATTTAAAAAGCTAATTTGGGAGCTTGTCGATGCTCCCAATTCAGACATTTTAAATAGGAACTGAAAGTCAGGAGCTGCCAGGGCACTAGATTTCCTCCCGTTGCCACCAGCACAGCTGAGGCATTTGTTCAGTCACTCCTCTGGCCCTGGCCGTGTGTGTCTGTGTGTGTGAGCACCCGCGAGCTCAGGGTATATTTCAGGCTATCTTTTCTATTTAAAGATGGTGCTCCTATGGATGACTATTCTTTCTCTGTGTGTGTGTCCTTTCCAAGCTGTGCACACATGAGGATTCTTCTTTAGTCCCATGGCTCTGGCCGGTATTTGCAAAGCTTGTCACCGTGTGGACTGTGAGGGTAATAGGCAGCCCAGCTCAAAGTCGGCTGCTTCTTTGCTGACGTGCCAGGCTGGTGTGTCTGCGTGGCTGTTTCCCAGGGCTGCTCTGTTCAGGGTCTCTTTTTGAAGCTATGCCTCATATGCCTCAGGGTATCCTTAAGGGTCACTCCCACCCTCACTGCTTATAACTGTCCTATTTTAGCAATCTGCCCCATGCTGGGGCAAGAATTTTGGGGGTGGGCTGTACCTCTGAGGGTTACAGCCTTTCTACGTTTAGGGTGCTATGTACCTTGGAAGTAAAAAGCACAGACTTTGAGGTGAGACTGCCTGGGTTTGAACCTGCCTCTGCTGTTAATTAGCTGTGTGATCATGTGGAAGGTACTTACTCCCCCTGTGCCATGATTTCTTCCTCTCTCAAATGGCAATAAATAATACTGTCTACTTTATAGGGTTGTGAAGATTAAATGAAGTAACGCAGACCAAGTGCTTAGAATCGTGCCTGAAACATGGGAAGTACAATATAATTGTTGGTTGTTGTTGTTCAAGGTAGGAGTGGTGCAGGCAGGAGGTGCAAAGAAATCTGTCTGAGGAGGAAGATAGAACTGCCGGATTGTACACAGAGACACATATAGTCACTCACCCACCCATGCATGTAACAATAAAAATGCCAGGCCACAGTCCACAGGGAGTCAAGTTCACCTTGCTGAGATAGCTGATTCTGTAAGTCCCAGGAAAGGGAGATTTCTGTTGAAGGAATAGAGGAAGAGTCTAGGGGTAAAGATGAGGAATGGGCTTGACCATGTCAGAAACCCATGGGACATTTCTAGGGAGCCGATTTTATGCTGACGAGTAAGTCCCAGGACCTTCACTATCCATGTGGTCCCAGCCTCCCTTATTTAACCACTGAAAGCAAGGCTTTATGAAAGTGAGCTCCAGTGAGAAACTCAGGAGGGTGGCACCTCGTTCTCCCTGAGGATCCCCTTGGGTTTGGGATACTCTCACTTTCATACTGCCATTGCCTTCCATCCCTTATTCCCATAGCTGGGCATGTGAGCTTTTATTCAGTTGCTATTAGAGTTTATTTCACCTCAGTTCGTGAGCATGTAAAGAAAGAAGATGGGCCCACAGGAAGCTGCTAGCAGGAAGAGGAGCTCTGAAGGACAGGAGGCTGTCCAAGGGATGAAAGCAACATTGCAAATGCTCGGCTTAGCATATCAGCCGTAAGTTGAGGAGCCACCATATGTTGGGCTCCTTGATAGATTTTCCATAATCCTGCACTATAGATACTACCATCATTTTATTGATAGAGAACCAGCTGGTGGAGAGGGACACTCCAGAAGCATGTGAGGCTGCATAGCTAGATTGGAGCTCTGACCTCTCCCTTTTGCCATTATCCCAGGATCCTTGGTTTCCCTGCTTCTGAAAGTAGAGTATCCTCCTCAGTCAGATAGAGGGGCTTCCCTAAGAGGACACTCTTGTCCTCTCCTGTGTTTGGCCTCCATAAGTTAGGTGTGGGGTTGACATAGTTTGAATATTTGTCCCCTCCAAATCTCATGTTAAAATGCAGTCCCCAGTGTTGGAGGTGGGCCTAGTGGGAGGTGTTCGGGTCATGGGAGCATATCCCTCATGCATGTCTTGGTATCCTCCCCATGGTAATGAGTGAGTCCCTGCTCTATTAGTTCACGTGAGAGCTGGTTGTTGTAATGTGTCTGGCACCTCCCTCCTCTCTCTCTTGCTCCCTCTCTTGCTATATGACACATCTGCTTCCCCTTCCCACCCACCATGAATAAAAGCTTCCTGGGACCTCACCAGAAGCAGATGCTAGTGCTGCGTTTGTACAGCCTGCAGAAACCATGAGCCAAATAAATCTGGACTAATACAGGGGTGGAGGCTCAGTATGTCCAGGGTGGGGATGCACCCTGTTTTTCTTCAGGGTGATGTCTGCCTAAGGAATTCCAAAGCTTGGGGGTGGCTTGGCTTTCTCTAGTTTCCCAAGGTGGGGTAGGAGGTGGTGGCATAAATACTGAGGAGCTTTGCCCCAGTCTCAGAAGGCCAGGGCTTTGTCTGCCAGGTATCAGCCCAGGTTGTCCAGCTTGCAGGCCAGGAGGCGCTGTTCAACATTGGTGGCCCCAATGGCTGAATGCTCACAACTTCTAGTCCAGATGCTTCTCGTCCGTTTCTGAGGGTGGAGAACTCTCGCTTCCTGCAGCCCTAAGTCCATTTGGAGGCCAGTAGTGGCCTGGATGGTCATCTCATTGATCAACACACTTAAACCAGTTACAGCAAATGAGAAGCCATCCAAGTTACTGGGCTCCAGTGGAGCTTCTGAAAGTCAGCCCTTCCAGTGGACCTTCTGCCAGCCTGACCCCTGCTCCAACCAAGGCAGCTCCTGGGGGAGGCAAAGTCCAGGTGGAGGTTTTCTGCTCATCAAGACCTCCCTTGGAGGGAGATGCGAGGGAAGGAATAGAAGGGAAGAGAAGGAGGAAAGCAAATATGAGAAGGGGAGACAGATACTGGGAGTTGGGGGGAAAATCCTAATCATTTGTTTAGTTTCTTGCTAGAAAATCTGGAGAAGGGTGAGTGGAGGCTGGGGATATAACTCTTAGGTGCAGTGACTTGTTTTCTGCTGGTGATTTCTTTTGCTTGTGTACTGATGTTTCCCAGGTTTCTGTCCTGGGCCTTCTTTGCTTCTCTCTCTGCCCTTTGCCCTGGAGAGTTGATGCAAGCCCATGGTTTCAAGTTTACTCAGATGCTTATGATTTCTTCCTGCATTCTTCTGGCCCCAGTAATGATCCACCATGCATCTCCATCTTTGTACATAGGCACCTCTATGCTTCATCTCACCAGCAGCCTTAATCCTTCTGCAATCGATTGTTTCCTCTAAAAAACCCTGCTCCTATCATGGTATGTCCCCCACTTTCTTTCCAGCCTTACCTTCTTCGACTTACTCACATCTTTCTAGCATGTAGATCTTTTCTTCATTACCTGCAAAATTTCATATCTTCATGCCTTTGTATATGCTGCACCCTCTTCCAGAAATGCCTTCCACCACTTCCTATTTCCTTTGTCTTCCTAGCAAACTTCCAGTTAGCCTCAAACATTAAATACCAAGACAAAAGTCACATAAGTATTGGTAAAGTCCTCCCCCGCATCCTGGGATGAACTAATCATTCCCCACTTTGGATTTTCAGTCCTTCCTGCGTACCTCAAATATGGTTCTTATGACCTGTATGGCCTTGTTTTCTGTATGGTGGTATCCCTCTCTGGACTTCAAGCTGTTTAAGGCAAGGACCGTCATCTTAGCCATTTCTGAATCCTAGCTCAGTGCTCAGCACATTGCAGATGTTCAGTATATTTACATTAATAATTTATTTTAACTTTACGTGGCTCCCTTGATTGTATGTAACTGGGAATATGCAATTAATTTGTCAACTGGTTGGTCTCCATGTCCTATCTGATTGATCTTAAGCACTAGCATGAGGACAGAAAGAAAGAATGAGGGTGTTCAATTTTCAGCTGATCCTAGATGAAAAGAGCCCCAAAGCCCCCCTCCTCCAGTGGGGAGGAAAGGAAAGGCTTTTCCTATCTACAAAGTGAGCCCTCAGTCGATGCTGCCTGCAGAGACCTTGCCAGTGTTCCTTTCTTGAACCAGATTGGTTTTCAGAGAACTCTTTTCTTTCCTTTCTGGCAGAATGTCAATCACATACTCAGAATATCACCTCCTTGGGCACAGCCAGGGCATGGTCCATTGAAAATGTTCCTGACTGCCTGAAGCTGATGGCTCACCATAAAAGCCAAAATGGGGACCTGTCAAAAATGTATTAGCCAAACTATGGCTTGGCTCAGGAAGATGCCAAGACCAAAGGCTGCTGAACTTTACGTATAAACTTGCATGAAAAGCACATCACTGATCTGAGACAGTGGAGGCTTAGTGGTGAGAATATGGGCTCTGGATGGACCTGGTTTCAAGTCTTGGCTCTGTCATTCACCAGCTGTGTGAATTTGGGCAAACCACTTTTTTTCTCTGATGCTCAGTTCCCTCACCTAGCAAAAAGGGTGATAATGATGGCATCAACTCATAAGGTTCATGAGGACTGAGTTAGATAATGCATACACATGTTTCATATACAATAATAAATAAAAATGTTGGCTGTTTTAATATTGTCACTGAGTCTACATGTGTCTGAAACTAGGTCTTTTAAATCCTGGGTACAGCTTTACAAGCAGTATTGTGTAGTTTAGACAGATCACCTGAGTTCTTTCTATGTAATTACTGTTTCTACTGAACCTTGGTAAATGTGTGAAATCGGAGAAGTCTGTCCCTAGATACTCCCCTCACCCCAGTGGCTCCTCTCTCCATTCTGTGCAACCCCATTTCTGTAGCCTTGAGCTTCAGCCCATTTCTCTCCATTTCCTCCTCATTAACAAGAACTGATAAAATTATTTGAACTGATGTGTAAGTGACCATCTCATCCAGAGATACAGTATTCACATTTTAGTAGTCAGAGCCTTAAACCAAGGCAGTAGTAGGTCAGAGCCTTAAACCAAGGCAGTGAAATAGAGTGGATGGTACTTCAAGCATTCATCAAAGTAATGGGGAAAGTTTGGGGTCCCAGGAGACTTTTCCCAATTCCACAGAGTCCTGCCCTGTCATAAAACTAGTACTATTGATGCATTGTAAGCAACAAGGTGGTCCATGTTTGAATTCTGCAGCTGGAAAATCAAGTCTCCAGCTTTTGCAAAAGTGTTGTAATAGGGAAATTTGGGCACTCATTTTATATACCAACCTCTTCTTAGTAAACAGACACAGCTCATGAGCACCAAGGCCTTACCGGCATTGCACATCTATGATACTTATACTCAAGTGGATTTTTTTTCTTCAGAGCTCAAGGCTAGAGTTGGGTGTTTTTGCCTCACTAGGTTTGCAGGAGACTCAGCTACAAAGTCATTAATTGCTTTGGTGAATCAACAAGTAAAGAAAGACAGTCCAGCTATTGTCCCCACACTGCAAAATCATCAGAGACTTCTAGATTTCTCTGCAAAATCCTCATTAAAGATGAGTCCTCATGGCGCTTACAGAATTCTTTATTATGTTCTTTGAGCTGAGACTGCAAGGTAAAGAAAGAAAAAAGGGAAATAACTAAATTTGTTATCAAGGAAAATTTCAAACATATACAAAAGATGAAAGAATTGTATAATATACACCCATGAACATGTCATTTAGCTTTGAAAGTTACCAACTCATGGCCAATCATACACTCCCCTACCATAATTTTGAAACAAATTCCAAATATAATTTCATCTGTAAATATTTCTGTGATTGCACCTTTGTTACATCCAACAAAATCCATCTCTCTAAAAGAGAAGTCATTCTTTCCGTCCTCACGATGCTAAGAACATTTGGCCAGTACCCGCATACATGCCCAGGAGTGGTCTCTGGGTTAGGCAAGCTTAAGGGTTTGCTGAATGCTGTCCAAAGTTTGTCCTTTTCCTTGGGTAGAAAAAGGAACCCATAAAATGTCCGGTAGAGGTGCCACTATGTGAAGCTTTTTTTTTTTTTTTTTTTTTTTTGTCAGCAGAGATGATGCTCAATAGCTGTGATGAGATCCAAGCTGAGAGAAAAGAGTCATGGTCATGAATCCCAGCTGGATTCATCATTTTCCACATACTTTACTTCATTTAGCTTTCACCAGTTCTCATGTTGGTTCCATTTTACAAATAAGAAAACTAAGACCTAAGGTAGTAGTTACTTGTGGCAGAGACTGACTAGATGCTAATCAAATTCAGTTCCTCTTTTCTGTCGATACAGTTAGATTACTTTCCCAGGTTCTCTTGCAGTTAGGTTTGGCCGTCTGACTAAGTTCTAGCCAAAGTAATATAGGCCAGTCCCATAAAAAACATCTAGGGCAGTTTAGCATGTTCTTTGTTTTTCCATCCACTAGCTGAATGGAAAAAATTCCAAGGGCTTAGAAGAGGACAGAGCCACAAGAACGAAGGAACTTGGGTCCCTGGGTGACTATGTGAAGTAGAGATCCCTCCCAACCTTCTTTGAACTGTGAAATAAGCAAAATAAATAAATAAATAAATTTTTATTATGTGAAACTGCTGAAATGTGGGTGACGCATGTTAAAGTAGTAAAGCCTAGCCTGACCAATACAGTGGCACAGATGGGATTTAAATTCAATCTGACTATGCCAATGTCCAAAGTCTTCCCCTAAACCACACTGCCTCCAGGCATAACAAATAAAAATTGCTTATAAGAACCACCTACATGCTCAGCATGTGATAGGACTGCCTTCAAGAAGATCTCGCATCTTAGATTTGTGCTAATATGATAGCCACTAGCCACATGGGGCGGTTTAAATTAAAGTTTAAATTAATTAAAATAAAGTTAAAAATTCAGTTTCTTAATTGCAGGCTCACGTTTCAAGTATGCAGTAGTCTCATGTAGCTAATGGCTACCACGTTGGAAATGTGCAGACAGAGAACATTTTTGTCATCACAGAAAGTTCTGTTGGATAATGCTGTCTTAGATAGACCTTCATTCACAATGCACCCTTCCTCAGACGCCCGCAGAAAAGCTGGAAGAAGCTAGGGATGCTGCTTACGAGAGGACGCAGGGTAGCATAGCCAGCAATCAGATTGTCATAGATATAAAGGCCTCTCCCCTGACCTGAACCTTGGATCTTTTTTCTTACCTTTCCTAGTTAACTCTCAGGCAATCATCCTATGGCCCTCCTGTACTCACTGGTAACATAATTTGGATATGACTTCCTCAAACAGAAGGAGCTCTGTCTGACCCTGTTCTCCAGACAGTCCTGAGAGCAGGGTCCACACATCATTCCCTCCCCAGCAACTGTGTAGATGCTGAGCATTAGATGCCAAGATACTGGCATCTGACAGGGCTGCACTTCCTGGCCTGGATTAGGGATATTTCACACAGCAGCCAGAGCGATTTTTCAAAAACACATATCCAACAATGTTGCCCATTAGTTGAAATCCTTCTATAATTCTCACTGCCCTCAGAATTGAGTAAACATATTTCAACATGTCTCCTGTTGTTACTGAATCATTGATTACTTCTGCTTTTCCACTTTCTACTCCTGGGCCCCTTGAACCTGGTGTTCCTGCCACGTTGAAAGTGCTGCAGTTCTCTAAACTCACAGGTTTGCTTTTACCCCTCAGTGTTTGCTCAGGCTGTTCCTTCTGCAGGGACTCTATCCTTCCCCATGTCTGTTTAGCTAACTCCTACATGTAGGGCTTAGCTTGGAAATACTTCTTCCCCACTCCCACCCCCTTTCCCACTATAGAACGTACCACACTTCCCAGCCATGTTTAGGGAACAGCAGATGTTTTCAGTTCAGGTATCAAAAGCAGAGACTATTTCGTGGAGGTTTTTCTCAAGAGGCTGACCCTTCCCAATCCATCTAAATCATGAGTCTCAGTCCCTCCCTCCTTTCAACACATACACAGGTGCGCGCGCGCACACACACACACACACGCACACATTTCCCATCGACTTAATTCCTCTGCAGAGTCACCGGAGGCAAGTGGAACCCTGTAAATCTCTCACAAGCTGTAATGCCCAGAAACCTATGCTCCTTGACCCCAGCCAGCCACTGTGAAACAAGTGCTACTAAATCCACGGGCCATGCCCCACTCCCCCTCCTACTTGCCATCATTCCATCATCTGAAAGGGGGGCCTGATATACAAAATAGGGTGTGGCAGTCACAATCCAAACTGGTGCCGAGAAGTGCTGTGGGTCTTCACTTCATTGGATTACTTTTATGGGATCGGAGCAGATAGAGGCAGTGACTCCAATGCCTGAGACAACATGACAATAAATCGCCATGGTGGCTCTTCCATGGCTCATAACTAGTAAATCAAATCTATTGAACAATACATTTACTGCAAATTTAAGAAGCTGTTCTTCCATTTTTTAAGTGTATGTGTTAAATCATGCCCAGAGTCATAAAGAATGGAGACAGCCAGCCTCGGTGTGAAAAAACAACAACAACAAAAAAAAACAGCCACAAGCTTAAAGAAGTTAGAAAATGCTAAATTCTTTGTTGATGAGAGAGTGAATACCCTTCCTGATAGCTCCGTGGGGCTCTTTTCCCACTGAGACAGACTAGAATCTCCAAAGTGGTAAGCTAATGACTTCTTAACTAATGCCTGAGTCAATTTTGCAAATACACATTCAATGTTAGCAGGCTCCTTCTTTGTTCCAGATTCCTGACGTGGACAGAAAAGGAAACACAACAGCCTTCTTAGTGAATTACAGCACTGCTTGCATCAGTGGGATGGTGATGAGGGTCAGGAGAGGGAGTGACTTACTGTTTTTCTCTAGAAGATTCCTTTTCTCCTCATTTCACTCTATTCAAGTGCTACTGAGTTGAATGCAACTCCCAACTCAAGATGCTGTTTTGGCCATGCTTTGCTGTCAGCGTGCTTTGTCTTATCTGTATTCCCCTGCCCTACCTACATATTAACAGGAATCTGGCAACCTGGCATTCAATAAACATTTTATTTGAACTGATAGGTCTTTATCCGCTAATGTTAGTTCAATAAAAACTTCTTAAACAATTCATTCATTCATTTACACACAAATGTTGAATATGCAATTGCTGTGCCGGGCGTATGGTGGTAAGCAAGATAGATACTGACTTTGTGTTCTTGGAGTACAGCTCATGTTTAAAGAGAAAGACAGACAGTGAATCTGCATTCTACACTGATGGTTAGGCTTACTAAAACCTCATCTGGGGTCATTGAAGCCTGAGGGGTGACTAGAAGCTAGATTTACAAATTCCCAAAATGATCCAATGAGATAGAGCTATGATTCCATTTTCAGATGAAGAACTGGAGGCATGCGTCACACAGCTGCAGTAGTGGCAGAGCTAGTATGTGTGATAGGGGTGTGTGTGGACTCTCGGGAAGCACAGGGAGGAGACATTTGGTCCAGCCAAGCTGTCAGGGAAGATGATCTGGAGGAGACGACATCTGAGCGGAGCCTGGAAAGCAGGCAGGAATCTACCAAATGAGTGAGGGAATGATGTGACCACCAGGCAGGGCAAAGACACCAGGGCATGAAACATCACAGCATGTGCCTGGAATGTGAAGCCAGAGGGAGGGCACATCAGGACCGAGGCGGGGG